TTTGAATGTACATGCAGCTCAGTGTGCATTCTTGCCATTTTTTGGTGCTGGGAAAAATTAATTTCTGTGAATGCGTTGCAATTTAGCCATTATGGCCCAGCCAAACAAGATGACCAAAGATGTCAAACACAGAATTATAGGTGGCTTTAGTTCCTTAAGAAGCCATCTAAGCCTTACCTACATTAGGATGTGCTTGTCTATTTTGCCAAGCAAAGTTCAAATGATCTTAATCGGCCATGATCCTATCGAGAAATGTTTGTGATCAGCTTAACAGCCAAGTGTACCCACAGCAGGACTGCTCGTTCAATGAACGCTACACCTGCCCTAAGTAAAGTCAATTAAAAATGCAAATATAAGCCTTAAATACAGTAAATAAGCCTGCAAACTCATTCTAATTTAAAGCTGAGTTTCACACAAACAAATTAATTCTCCTTGAAATACATTAAATTAAGCAGTTTTAACGCATTAAAGGACTTGAGCGCTCTTAATTTGAGTTCCTGGGTCTGTACACCAGCTTTGGACATTAGGAAGGGTCCCCATTCTTTTTTTTTTTTACGGAGGACCTGCAACAGGAGGATCAGCCCTTCCTCTCTTTTGCCTCCTCCCTCTTACACAATTAGATTTTTTTAAAACATGAAATAACTTTTTTTTATTTTTCATTGGATGCATTTCCTGCATCCAAGTCTAAGTTAGGATGTTATGTCCAGCCAACTGCTGTCTCCTCGGATGTCTACATCACATCCCATTGGGCACTATTTCTATGATTCATTGTAAGATCTGGAGCATTTGCAGACCCACAGCCACATGTATTTGCCAGTCAATAGGGACTGGCAGAGAAAAGAGGCATATCTGGGCATGCATGGGATCTCGTTACAAGATGGTGACACTGGAACAGAGTGAGACAGAAGAGCTTTGCTCTGGAAGAAGTCAATGATGGACTCCATGGAGTAGTACAGTGTTTCTTAACAAGGGTTCCGTGGAACCCTAGGGTTCCTCCAGAGGTTGCTAGGGGTTCCTTGAGCAATGAGCAATTTTTGCCTCTCAAGTAAGTTCCCCCTGACACCATTGATCTTTTTAGCAATCTGTAAGGGGGTAATTCTTCCCAATGACCACAAGTGTAAAGAACATTATTACCTCTGACTATCACACTAATGCATCATGAATTGTAGATAAAGCTATTTTTAGCAGGGGTTCCCTGAGACCGGAAAGTTACGTCAAGGGTTCCTCTGCGTTGAAAAGGTTGGAGTAGTATATTTATTTTTTTTATGTACATACAGGGACAATTATTATGGGTTAAAAATAAAATGATATAGAGAAGTTCCTCTTTCAAAAGCCCCAGGTAACAGAATTTCATTTGCAATGTAGCTTACAGTACCATGATAAAAACAGGGACAGTGAAAGAAGAAACCCTCAAAACAAGAGAATGTCCTTGGAAGTTAAGATGGCCAATATAAGAAATAATATCAAGTGGGCTGCACTGATCAAAAATATGTTCCTTTCTGCCAGATTTACGCAGAGCAGCTATTCCTGTTTTAAATGTATGATTATCTTTGGAAGCTCTCAAAGATTATGAAAGGCCAAGGACAACATTTTTTAGATCTCCAAGCGGTCCTACCTACGTGGAATTTTAACAATCTGTTTCCACACATGTATGAAACCTTTGTCACAGCAAGTCTTTGTCTTAGCACAAAACATATAGAGAATGAGACTTACAAAGCTGCAGGCTGCTCCACCATCAAAGTTATGCTCCATTGGAATCAGCCTGCCACGACTTTAAAAAATAAAACCCTTAAGCTGTATTGAAAATGGTATATTAATTAAAATACCTAATTGGTCCTGGGAGAAACATACTGTTATTTTCAGCCTCTTATTTCCAATTTTTATTACAAGCATCATTTGGTTAAGACATGATGGTGAAATGAATTAGTTGAAAGAATGAAGGAAAAAAATTAGACAGCGTTAACAGCGATGCTACTTATATTTTCCCAAGACGGAGAGATCAGCGCAGAGTAATCAGAGATCTGACACTAAATTCCTTCATGGCTGGGGGTATTTCATGCTGCCTTGACTGGAGTCATTCTGGTCTGAAGGCTTTGAAGATATTTTTTTTTTGCCTTAGAAAAAGCGGGCATTTTGAGAAGTGCCTTAAAGTAAACCCTAAATCTATTTTTCAGTATGTTTGATATCATGTCTTACTATATACAATAATTTGTTATTGAATCTGTTGCAAAGTTTATTACCTGGAGATCCTGGCAGTAACAGCAGTTTCTGATGCATGCTCAGCTACTGTTTGTCAATTCAAAAAAAGAACAGAGTTTCCCTTAAAACAGAATTTCAGCTAAAGCCTTACTAGTCTTAAAAATCATCCCTCACCCCTCTTTACACCTATACTAACTAATCTGTGTTAGAAAGGGATATACAATTTATATTGACCTGTTTTCAGGCTGCTCCGGTCCAGTCACAAGATCCGCCTCCCTTGTGCCAGCCAGCGGTGACTGCAGGGGAGAGGAAGGACCACCAACAATGACTGCACCATGGGAGCCAATGAATGATGTAATTGGTCCTGGCTTTCACAGCTGTTGTTTGGCACCCTCTCCATTCCCCTGCTGCTGCCGATGGCTGACACATGGGATCACATAACTAGATTGGAGCCAGACTGAAAATAGGTAAGTACTGTATATACATCTTTCCTACATAGGTTAGTCAGCAAAGGTGTTAGAAGGGGGAAGGGAAAATTTTTAAAGGATAAGTTCACCTTTTAACCAAAATAATAAATGCACTTTTTTTGCTGGTAAAAAAAATTAGCATTTATTATTTTTGGTTGCAGGAGCCTGTAAAGAATTGCACCAGTGATCTGATGATCTCCTGCAAATCTTTCAGTATATCTGCTTGCACGTACAGAATTCCAGCTCAGGAAATCTCCAGATTCTTGCTGCAGGAATCCGGTGATGGCCCTAAGTGCACATATGAAAGAAGCTTAAGGGTTGTGTCTTGGCTGCTCCAACCACTACTTTCACTGAGGCATGGTCCACTTCAGGTCCACTTAAAGAAGAGCTTCAGTCTCTTTAAAAAAACAATACTATAGCTGCTGACTTTTAATAAATTAACACTCACCTGTCCAAGGATCCAATGCCATTCTCAGTTCTTGTGGCTTCTCAGCTGGCTTCCCACTGCCTATGTGAGAGCTGTGCTGCACTTTTTGAATGGTCCCGCAGCTTTCTGGGACCTGTGATGTATCCCAAAAGGTTGCAGATGGGGGACAGCTTGGGGTAGAATTGCCTAGGTAAGTGCAAATGGGGAGTGGGTACCTCTCAAAACTAGGTACCCACTCTCAAAAAAAAAAAAGGGTTCCAAAAGAGGAGAGAGATAGGAGGACATAAAGCATAACTTCCCTTTCAGGGCATCTGCTGTTCTGTTACATCCTGATTTGCAAGACTAGTAAAGCATATCAAGATGTAACAGTACATCAGATCAAGATGTAAAATTGTGCAATCTTAAGTGGGCCCAACTCAAAATGTGAAGGTTGGCCATTAATTGTTCCTAAGCAGTACCTGTGCTCTGAAAAACAAATCTTTTTCTTGAATTCTGCCTGAAAGATTGCAGTTCATGGACTGGGTCCCGTCCTGATAGCTGTATATTTGCAGTGCGAAAGCCCTGTGCTTCTTAAAACCAGTATCAAGAGAATAGGAGTGAGATTTGATGATGTTACTTACTGTACTTCTTACTGGAGAGGAAGGTGAACCAAAGGACCTGCATACAAGCATCCCCCTGCTATATTCATTTATTATGTGAGCTGTGCTTTCTGCACCTCTTCTGCTGCTTCTCAAAAATTCTGCCACCAGTCATCAGACTACTGGTCATCAGGGGGGCACCTCTGACATGAGGAAGGAAGGCCCTGTTCCTCTACCAAGATGGCTGCCTCCAAACAGATGCTTAGTGCAAAACAAGGTATGGTAAGGCAATACCAAAGGAAAGATCAGCTGCATGGGGCCTACAGACAATACTGTTGACCTATTAAGTCCACTGTCCTGTACTTGCCCATCCTGTACTTTTTTGGGCTCCGATTACACAGTTCAGGTCCTTTTTAAAGAATATGTACACCCAACATTTCATATTCCTGATATGTACCTGCTGTACCAGTAGTTGTATGAAAAACTATCCTTTTCTCTTTGTATTGCTTCCTTTGTACTTGTTTGTAGCCTACATACTGATATTTGTATGTTAAACTGTAATTTTTTTTTTAATTTTGAAAATGCCAGTAAAAACTTGGCTGTGCCAGTAACATTTGGGTGTTGTGTCAGTGAATAGGGAATTGGATGTTGTGTCAACTGATAGGATGGCAACAATGAGGAAGAACAGAGGACCAGAGTACTGCTGTTTCTCCTCCTGGAGCTCTCTGTGCTGCTGAGAACAGAGGGTATGTAATCACTTATAAAAAAAGGAAAAAAGGGTATTTCTAATTTTTTTGATATCGATACACAATTGTTTTGACTTTCATTTCTATTTTAAACTGAATGGGTTGTTTTACAAGGTGAGAGTTTACATACACTTTAAGCTGGCCATACGTATACAGCCTTATTGTGCATCAGTATATTTCCCTCCAGATTTACCAACGATATGTAATGTCACGGCTTATGTACATGTATGGTCAGCTTGTGATTAAAGTGAAGATCAATGTGGAGAACAGAAAAGTATCAAGATGCAGTACAAAGAGTTGTAGTATTGGCAGTAGTAGAAGGACAAAGGGAAACGTTTCTGAGAATTTGACAAAGAAGGGTATGCTGCCTAGTGCAACCAACCAGACCTCATTGAGCAATTCTAAACTTAAGTTTTCTTGGTTCTTCTTTTATAACCCAGCTGCAGAATGATATAGGAAGCCGGAAAATGGTGCAGCAGCTCAATGTCGGAGCGCACATGGGACAGAGCAGGTACGCAGGGGGAGAATTAGACAGTGACTTAAAGAGAAGTAGAAAGCTGAAGACAACAATATCATCACTCACCACAACAACAAGGGAAACCGGGCCAATAAAACTCCAGATGAAATAATTATCAACCCGCAGCCAGCAACTGTGACAGAGAGAGAAATGGGAAAACAGTCAGAGGCACTGATAGAGGAGCAGAGACACAGTCACATCCAGATAGCTGGCTAATGAGAGATAAACACACTTCCCCAAAGTCAGCGAGAGAGACAAAGAAAGAGGTATATGGCTAGAGATTGTATCAGACACAAAGACAGAGAAAAAGGAAGATACATAAATGTTATAGAGCTGAGAGCCCATAGTCAGACACTGATTACAAAGAAGAAAGTTGGCACATAGTGCTAAACTATATGAGACAGTCAATAAACTACAGAAGATAGTCAAGAGGGAATATAGACAATTGACAATTAGACTGAGGAACACAGGTAGACATTGGTAGGAAAGTTCACACTTGGTCACTGCAAAGAGAACGCCACTTTAACTAAAAAAGTATATAAAACACACATATTATTCACAATCGTAATGCTGTAATTGCTATAAAGAATAATTCCTGCGATTGGCATGCTGTACATAGTTACACTAGTTCAGCTTGGACCACTGTAAATATGTATATACCATACCTGGCAGATGCTGCTTGAAGCTGGAAATCACTGAAGTAGACACCCCTACGCCAGTGATCTCCACTTGCTTCCGGGTCCCATGCTGAGTGTTCAGACTGATGCCTTATGAGTACAGGAATTAGCTGCTCAGCACGGGTGCCATTCAGAGAAAACTTTGCATTTTCTGAATGAATACAAAGCATTCTCTGATTGGATGAGGTGGAGAGTGTGATGTCACCACCCCACCTTATCCAATCAGGAAACACTTTGCAAAGCATTTCCTGAATGGTGCCTGTGCCAAACGGCTGACCTCCTGTGTTCAAAATGCAGAAGGACAGCAGATCGGCATGGGACCTGGAGGCAAGCGGAGATTGCTGGAGTAGCGGTGTCTACTAGGAAGGGGGAAGGAGAGAAGCAAAGCAGCTAGACACAGAAGCTGATAACTTTCAGGATCCCAATTGGAGGGTGGCTGCAGGGCAGCCCCAGATCCAAAGGAGGGAGATTCTTTCCAGGCTGCACATCTGAAACACCTTAAAGGGGACCTCTGGCAGATTATACCATTTACACATATTGCTCATTTATTATGCGCATCTGGTGAGTGCGCATTTTTATCATATCCCCTGCACTTTGCTGAATGGATTAATATCACATGGAAATCATTTGAAATCATTCGGGCACAGGATCGTCACATAGCACCATGTCAGATTTTCACCAACACATGAACTTTTATTTTGTGTGTATTGACTTTTACAGTTGCACTTATCCTACAGTGCTTAGTGTCTTTACAAAGGACTATACACAGTCATTATTGTTTTTGCATATAATTTATTTTATATTTGGCACATCATTAACCCTATAGCGCTGCACTTATTGATCATATACGTTATTGAAGGTCTTTTTGGGTTCCTTTTTAGTGCATTTGCTGCTGACTCCATCTTAATCTTGAGCGCTCGCTAATTTCTTCATCGTAAATCTTTTTTTTTGGTATAATTTTCCTTTACGGGAATGTGGCAGGGGATATCTTATGCCTACATACATTTGCTAATAACTGTCCCTCAATACCATCTTAAAAAGTTGGGAGGTATGCAATAAGTAAGGCAGATAAGACTCCCATGTAAACGTCAGTTTGAAAAAAGTATTAATGTATAAATGACAAAAAATGGTAAAAATCTGCAACAAAGCTTGCAAAGATCTTTGCATGGCTTATAGTTCACCTGGAGGCACTGAATACCACATAGGTGTAAAAAGACACAGGAATGTAGCTCTGTTTCCATTAATAAATCAATAAAGGATAGGTTCACTTTTGGGAACATGTTACATGCGCCACCTGTTTTTAGGGTGGAACATGTACTATGTTCCCAATACTGAAGTTGCTGCCCTATCCCCCCCTCCCTGTGACAGCAGTACGGGGAGAAGTTCCCCGTACTAGCTGTCACTTTTAACAACAGAGCGGCCACGTCAATCATTCAAAGAGTTCTGTGAATGAATGAACTACAAGTCCTGACAGCCTTAAGCAGGCCATAGACGGGGAGAAAACCTGCTGTTTTTTTTTTTTGAAAGACGAAAAATCGGTCGTTCAATCAGCCGACATTACCACTATTGGTAAAAAAAGGTCGGCTGATTTTCATCCTGTCTACGGCCGGCAATTATATAGAATATATGCAGAAGAAGAAATAGAATATGAAGTAGAAGAAGAAATAGAATACGAATAAAAAGAAGAAATAGAATATGCAGAAGAAATGGAAATAGAATATGAATAAAAAGAAGAAATAGAATATGCAGAAGAAGTGGAAATAGAATATGAATAAAAAGAAGAAATAGAATAAGCAGAAGAAGTGGAAATAGAATATGAATAAAAAGAAGAAATAGAATATGAATAAAAAGAAGAAATAGAATATGCAGAAGAAGTGGAAATAGAATATGAATAAAAAGAAGAAATAGAATAGGAATAAAAAGAAGAAATAGAATATGCAGAAGAAGAAGAAATAGAATATGAATAAAATTAAGAAATAGAATATGCAGTAGAAGAAGAAATAGAATATGAAGAAAAATAAGAAATAGAATATAAATAAAAAGAAGAAATAGAATATGCAGAAGAATAAGAAATAGAATATGAATAAATAGAAGAAATAGAATATGCAGAAGAAGAAGAAGAAAGAAGAAGAAGAAGAAGTTGTTGCAACATTGTATCTATTTGTATCCATTTCGGATACAGATGTTTCTATTTGGATACAAATAGATACAATGTTGCTATACTTTTAAAGGTCAAATATAATATCGGACTGATTTTCTATTTTTCTTCTTCTTCATATTCTATTTCTTCTTTTTATTCATATTCTATTTCTTCTTTGTCTTGATATTCTATTTCTATTTCTTCTTCATATTCTATTTCTATTTCTTCTTGATATTCTATTTCTTCTTTTTCTTCATATTCTATTTCTTTTCTTCTTTTTCCTCTTCTTATTCATATTCTTTCTACTTTATATTCTATTTCTTCTTTTTCTTCATATTCTTTTTTTTTTTAAATCAGCAAAAAGGTCGGCCGATTTGTCCATAATTTCCGCGAAAATTGGCCGAACGACAAAATCGGCCGACGATTTTCCAGCAGGGGCGATTTTTTAAAAGTCTCAAAATCACAAAAAACGGTCGACAAATTTCCCCACTAACAGTCCGAACATCGGCCGATTTTTTTATCAACCGAAAATTCGGCCACTTTATTGCAAGTCTATGGCCCGCATTAGCAGCTGTCGGCTTGTAGTTCTCAATTAACTACCATGGCGCTGCGATAGTTCATTAATTCTTCCTTTCAGTATATCTGCTTACCCGTACATTCCATATGGGCAAGCAGATATACACACAGGTCTGTAGGAGACCTGCATGGCACCAGTGATCTGCTGATGCCTGGTGCAATGCTTTCCAGCCTCCTGCAATAAAAATGTGCATTTATTATTTTTGTCAAAAAGATCAACTTATCCTTTAAACATTTTTTAAATGAAACGAATATATGTATCTGAATTTGGCTTACCCTAGGTTCACACCCAAGTGGTTTCCACAGCGTTTTGCAGAAATGCACAACAGTCCATTTAACACGATTTCCTATGGGACATGTTCACATCTCAGCTTTTTCACCAGTTCGTTATTTGGAAAGGGTCAGGGTCTTTTTTGAACGCAAAAAGTTGCGTTTTTTGGTTCTATAGACTTCAATGGAAATGCTGCAGAAAAGCATGTAGTGCGTTTTCACCCGTTCGTTATTTGGAAAGGGTCAGGGTCTTTTTTGAACGCAAAAAGTTGCGTTTTTGGTTCTATAGACTTCAATGGAAATGCTGTAGAAAAGCATGTAGTGCATTTTTGCCATGTTTGTGATGCATTTTTGATTCGTTTTGTATTTTAAATCTGCCTAGCAACAGGAAAAAGGGAAAAATAAAAAAACGCAGCAAAAACACGTAAAAAATGCAGGTGCAAAAATGCAGTGTAAAAACGGGTCAAACGCAACCTGCATAGGTGTGAACCTAGCTTTAGTATAATTTTCTTAACGCTCTGTACAGCAGCACTTGGACTGGGGGAGGGAGGGGCAGGACTGGGAGCCAATCAGTATGCTGAAAAGAAACATACTGATTGGAAGAGTGAGCAGAAAGTGACCTTATTACTCTGCTGCTGCTTGTTTCTTTTCCCATCAGAAAGCTGGGGATGAAGAGATGACACCACTGTATTATAACTGAGAAAGTGGTGTCACCCACCTGGTTGTGCTGTGTAATGAAGCAATGTGCATTTCAAGACTAAATGGATAGCAATGCAAATCCTTTGGCAAGTAAAGCCGTTTCCATACATGCATGTCATCTGTGTATATAGATGTTTTTTCTTTAGTTGTACTTTAAAGCAGAACTTCAGGCAAACTGCTTAATACACAGGTTAAATGCATATAAAAGCTCTTTTACCTGACAAAGTATTTATGTTTTAGTTCACTCATTCTTGAGATTTGCACAGCTCTGCCAGAAAGTAAAGTCATCCCAGAGACCTGACTTAACTCTGTTGAATTTAAGTAATACAACTAAGTCTTGTCCCCACCCCCAGCCTGTGACTTGTCAATGAAAGGAGAAGCAGCAAACTGATGCGTTCATCTCCCTTTGTTCTTTCTTTCTGAAGCATATCTAATTGGCTCCTAGACCTTTCTTTCCCTCTCCCAGTTTGGGCTCTGCTGTACAGGTAAGTAGAGGAGGGTAATACCAAGTCAAATTCAGATACTTACATTAGTTGCGTACACTTAAGAGTCTGTTTATGAAAAAAGAAATTGCTGTGCGAATACCTCAAGCATTGACGCAGCCCTTACAAATAACCACCAGAATGTGTGCAATATGTCTATTTCCTATGGTTGTCTGCTCCATTTAGCATCCATAATGCAGTGTTTTCCTGAAATCAATTATGGCCACTAGATGAAGCTGGCGATTATAGGAAAACAAACATATTATACAAACAATTCATGATGACTGTATGAATCCTTGAAACACTTGAACAGCATTTTTTTTCCTCATAAATAGACCCCTTGGTGATTTTTTTTATTAAAAACTCATCTGCATTCATTTTTTATCTGCCTGGTATTCCCTGACGGAGAAGCATATGTCATACCACAAATAGCAGGAAGTAAAGCCGGCCATGGATGGATCGAATCCGGTTCGGGTGTAGCGGCAAGATCTGTCCCCCCATGAAGATCTGTCCCACAATGAAGATCTGTCCCCCTGACGCATCTGCGCATGTCACGGTTTCAGAGACGATCAAGCGATCACAGAGCTACTGTATCCGACCTCTCTCCTTTCCATGATGCTTCTATCCATCTTGCAGGAGCGTCGGCTATTCATCTGCGGGATCAATTTCAGCAGTGCGTGTACTCAGCGGTGCAGCCTAAATGGGGTTAACTGTGGCAGTTCTGTGCTATGGATGGTAATCGGCGATCGGCTACTTCTCCTGAAAACCGTGACATGCGCAGATGTGTCATGGGGACAGATCTTCATGGGGGGACAGATCTTGCCGCTACAGCAGTTCAGAATGACCCGTCCAAGATTCGAGCCATCTATGGGCAGGGTGGTTGTACTGAAGTCTATCCATCAGTAGACTTCAGCCTGTTGGATTTATTGCATGCTTCTACTGCCAGCAACTATAGAAATTGTTGTGATCTGTTAGCAGGGAAGGCTCCCCGCCAGCAGAATACAATAGCGCTGCGGGAGGGATTCCCCCATCAACACTGGCTCTGTTGATGGAGGAATTGAGGAATTGAGAGAAAATTGCATCATCTATGGCTTGCTTAAGTGCTGGACACTACACTACGGCTGGCCATACATTATACAATTATCTGGAGATTTTTGGTTTAGATTTACCAAAAACCATATAATAGGAGGACAAACCTAAACAACACTTTCAGTTGTATCCAATTAGGCAGGCCCTTGCACTAAACAGTTGAAGGTAAATCTAAAGGAAATTGGGCAGAAAATTGGAAGATAATTGTATAATGTATGGCCAGCCTAAAATACACTCTGTTAGTCAGACAGAACAACGTGTTTATTGTATTGGGCAATCTGAAAACATATTAGCACTTTATATAGTATTAGACTGCAATATTATGGAAAACAATAGGCAGATATGACTATATCGCGGGATACTGTATTTGTCAAAGGTAAAAGGTACCACTGTTGAGCACCTGTTAAGAAAAGGAGGAGCATAGCTAACTACTATTTATCAGACACAGTATTAGATGGGCAGCAGTTTACGCACGCTTTATCTGTGCCGTAGCTTCTGTAATCGACAGCTGCTGAAATCCCCACCACGAGGGCTGGGAAGACGTAGCCACAGAGGTAGTAGTACTTTCGTCGAGAGTGCTCTGTTTCAAACACCTCCACTAGCATGAGATAAAGCTGCACTCCCTCTAGACAAAGCCAGGAGAAGGCTGACAGGCTAAAGAAATGTAAGAGACCAGCCAAGATGGGGCACACCACCTGAAAGAGATGATATAACAACAAATAAGCAACAGGACAATATTCAACCTGCCTTGTTCTTATAGCAGGAACAAGAATGAAGCTAAAAGGAAAGAAGATGCACACCTGATACTGGGTTTTGTCAATACCAGTGAGGAAGAGAAGCTCAACAAGGAAAAGGCTGATGCACAGGTTCTTGTGGATGGTGTTCCTGTCAGTCTGAAGACCTCTTAGGAAGCAGAAGGTGGAGATACAAATTCCGAGACAGACCAGAGAGATCACAATTCCCACCCATGAGATGACAGAGAGCAGCAAATCATTTATATGACCAGGATACTGAGAAAACACAAGTAGACAAAAGACCACTGTCAGTTATGGGATTGTTGATGCTGTAGAACCATCAAGAAAAAACCTACTGGTGCTATGGATATAACGGTAGTGGTAACAGAAGCAGAATTCAACAATATGTGTTAGGCAATGGCAAAGATATGATTCAGACAATTAGTTAAAAAAGAAAAAAAAGTGTAAAATTAATGAGAGTAATATATCAAATACAATAACTTCAAAAAGACAGCCAAAATGCACTTCGTCAGTAGACTAAATGACAATCATGGCACTCTCACCATATCCCTCTGAGCCATTAGCACAGCAAAGTTGGTGAGGTGGTTGCATGCACAGGTTGTGTGTGTCTTGTTGGTATGGACCAAACGGCAGCCCTGCGTTGACCAGTACCCCAACATGGAGCGCTCCGAGTAATTCCAGAATGTGCAGTTGGCATTAAAGTGGTTCTTAGACTGAAAGACAAATGAAAAAGAGGCAATAGTACAATTTGCTTAATCTGTCTTCTAGTTATGAGAGATGTACACTGACCACTGGACTCACTAAAAAACCCAGAGGAGATGCAATACCTTCATGGGTGCTATTTACCAAAATTGCATGGTGCAGCTCTGCATAGAAACCAATCAGCTTCCAGATTGTATTACCAAAACTTATTTGAGCATGCTGAAGTTAGAAGCTAATTGGCTACCATGCACAGCTGCATTAGATTCTGAGTGCACCAATGTTATTAGAGGCATTTCTAGGTTACTCTTCTCCCTACTCTACACATTACATATTGAAGACCTACTAGAAGCCAGTAAAACAGGTCCTCCTTCTGTCCACAACGGCTGTAAGAGCCTCAAATTGGAGATATTGCTTTGAATATCCAACAGATCGGAAACTATCAATCATCTATGAAAGCGGTTAGAGACATTCATAGCTACTGAGAAGAGGCAATCCTTCCATAATTCTGGCTTCAGGAAGGTGTATACAGTAAATGGGGATTAAGGTTGGAAATAGGAGTCAGGTAGTGGTTCCTGTTTCCCTACTTAAACCACTATAACTGTGTGTACTCCAGAGAAAGATCCAATTACCAAAACATCCTTCATTCTACCCTTCTAATTAGATTATCAACTAACCTATTTGATATTCTACTCCTCCTTGAACCATGCATTACACATCTTCTACTCTACTAAACATATTAGTATATCATATAAGTCATATATAAAAACTGCCCTCTGTACAAGAAAAAACACTCCAACCTATATGCATTACTCACTAACACTACATTTACGTACCTGTAATCTATAAGGCCTCTTAAATATTGAAATGCATATTCAGTTCAATCTTTACTCTGCTGTACCTCTCCTCAAGTACAGAATAATATATTCATGCAATCATTTTTATGGATGAATATACCATTTGACAATATTATGTCCTAACTTGAAAAGAAAGATAGACTTTGATTTTCACTCCATGCCTAATTTACGCCTCCCAAGCAAATGTGAGGCTTACTTCACTTATACTCTATCCTCCTCACTTCATAAGTAGGATCTAATGTACCATTGTAGCTTGTCTTGCATACATCATATCCTTCTCCACCATACAATCTTTTTACAAAATCTTCAGCAAACCAAGTATACAAAGATGAAACCTTCAAAGTATTAAATGGTCAGATAGGTTATTTTTAGAATGATAGGATCAAAATGAGGTCTTAAATAATGAATGGATGAACCTGAAGGACATGTATTGTATTTCGTCTGAACTTGGTAAGTGAACGTGGACCTTTGCCCTGCTTTTGTGAAAGTCAAATGATATCATCTGATCACAAAGTCTTTTTGCTCTTTATATATAGACCTTGGTGTTTTAAAAATAAGTCATTTAGGATTTGTGTAGCTTGTGTTAGTAGTGTCTAGGAAAGTTCTCTTTTTGCTTGTCTCTTGGCTATTACCTGTAGGTGAGGTAAGGTAAAAATAACGGGTTCCACCAAGAATACTCTGCTGGACTCCTTATTCATCGAAGCAGCAATTATCTGTGAGTTTACGACCAGCGAGTGTCCAGTAGAGCCGCTTTCTCCCCCAAAACGTACGGTAGAATTTTCCGTTGACAAGAAGAGACCGAGATTGTTGTAGAGGATAAATACCACCTTCACCACCCCTGGAGAAAACATATACAATGCAAACATGCCATAAGCTACAATAAACTCACCTACCACAAATAACAGTACCCATTTTTGAGACATTACATCAGGGATTTACAAATCCCAGAAGTCAAACTACCCATGCTTCTGATAATTGCATCTGCTCCCAACTTTGTAAAGCCTTTTCTATTGCTACAAGTGGAAGCATATGTTCTCTTTCTCCTTAGAAATGCCTCCTGGCTTCTAGATTGAACTGACCAGCTCCTCCAACCTACTTGCATGTTTAATGAATCACGTTTTTGTTCTGCTGATCTGCATTTCCTTTTCAAGCCAATTAATTTGGGTCATTTCATTCATTTAATTTATTCAATGATCAGTCCACCCGAAACAGATACATTAGCTTTTGGTAGATGTTAATCGAGTGAATCACACGCTTTTTTTGTTAATGTCTTAGAGACTTTGGTAGTGGGAGCTCTCAGCTGTAGTTTGGCTCTCCTGCTTTGACATTTCACTCTTCTTTCTAAATTCTCCAAAGCTTACTATGATTAAAGTGTATCTACACCCAAGAACAAAAATATAATATATTGCAGCTCACCAGTATTTAAATGTGGTGGCTGCACTGGATTTCATTGTTCAGGTTTTTTTCATTTTTTATTTTTACCAGGAGATCCAGTAAAACATTTCCTGTCCTAGGGTGACAAAGCTCACTTGTCATACTGATTCTATGACGGAGCAGTATTCCTAGGATGGGAAGTGTGTTAGAACTACAGAGCACCCCCTCTTATTCTCTATAAGTAGGTAAGAAGCATTCTGTAGTTCACAGAGGTGTACTGGGCAGATCTAATAACACTGCTTGGGATTTAAAGAATATGCATACCCTCACCTTGTAAAACATTCCATTCCATTTAAAATAGAAATAAAAGGTAAAATATTTGTGAATACATATCAAAAACACCTTTTTCCCCTTTGTTTTATAACTGATCGAATACCCTCTGCTTTAAGATGCATAAGGAGCTCTGAGTTCTGGGTGAGGAGAAACATCAGAGTAAATGGCTGTGCAGGGTAGGACGTCAGGACAAGTCTGATCATTGGAGTAGATGAAGCTGAGTTCTTAGCAGAACTAGAGAACTGACCACGCTGTACTCTCATGCCTAGTATAATCAGTTTTTGATAGGAAAGCATAGGTACTGGCAGGGACACCAGGGATTTAAAAAAAGGATGCAATACGAAGAGAATAGGATACTCTTTCATACAAGTACATGGTACAGCAGGAACATATCAGGAATATGAAATGTTGGGTTTACATATTCTTTAACAGCAGGAAATTATGAGCTCAATGGATTTCCCTCTGGATCAACAGGTATCGTTTTAACAAATATAACAAAATGTTTTCAATAGTATATTTAACATTCCAAATGGGAGCAAACAAAAGAAAATCACTGTTTGGGATTACATACATTTTTATTAATAAAAATCCAGTGGGAAACCTGAGAAAGAATCTCACCATTGCGACTGTTCTGCTTGATAGAGTTGGCCGAAAGCTGGATAGAGCTCAGACTGTGATTGTCCTGGGGGAAAACCAGCTCAGAGACAGGACCCTCTGTGTTCACCACGGACACCTCCAGCACTGAGAGAAGAGACAGAGAGAATTGTAGAGAAGGCATAAACATCACCAACATTCGCACAGTGCTATAGAGATCACATAGACAGCAGAGACATCTCCACCATTAATATGTATTATCTTAGAGAGACTTCCATCAGTGAGAGACAAACCAGTTATTATGGCCACAAAAAACTTACTGGATCTTTCTAGATAGATAGATAAACAGATAGATAGATAGATAGTAAGATAGATAGATAGATAGAGAGATAGATAGATAGATAGATAGATAGATAGATAGATAGATAATAGATAGATAGATAGATAATAGATAGATAGATAGATAGATAGATAGATAGATAGATAGATAGATAGATAGATAGATAGATAGATAGATAGATAGATAGATAGATAGATAGAAAGAAAGAAAAAAAACGTGGATTTATGCAGGAAGGGGGGACTTGAGGGGGAAGAAGATTTCTCTTGGGGGGGGGGGGAATTTCTGCTGCGGGGAAGAGGATTTGTGCTCGGGGGAAGAAGATTTGTCCTAGGAGGAGGGTTATGGGGGGGGGGGGTGAGAGGATTTGTGCTCTACGGGGGAATTGGGGGTGAGAGATGATTTTTCTAGGAGGGGGGGGATTAGGGGAGGGGGGATAATTAGTTCTGGAAGAGGGTTTTGGAGGAATGTGCTGTGTGTGAATTTTTTGAGGGGGAGGATTTGTGCTGCAGGGAGGGGAGATATGGGATGGGTAGAGGATTAGTTCTGGGGGGCGGAAACTGGAGGGGGGAGAGGATTTTTGCTAGGAGGGGGTATATGAGAAGGAAGAAGAATTTGTGCTAGGAGAGGGAACTGGAGGGAGGAGGATTTGTTCTGGGAGGGAGGATTGGGGAGGAGCAGAGGCGGACTGATAACTCATGGGGCCCCCGGGCAATAGGGGATCATGGGGCCCCTGTGTCCTTTCCCACACTCAAAAAAGCGTATAAAAAAGGTACCAGGGGCATTTCATGGGGTCCCCTACTGAACCCGGGCCCTCGGGCAGTGCCCGAGTGCTCAAATGGTCAGTCCACCCCTGGGGAGGAGACAAACATTTGTGCTGAGTTGGATATTTATTGTGCTTGGAAAGTGGGAGACAGTGTTGCTTTTGGTGGGAATTTGACCCCTGAATTCCTTTATGTACTCGTAAACACTCTGCATTACAGTACTCATGCACTATATACATTATATTGTACATTACATACTTCTGGCCAAAATGTTCATTGCCTCAACAGTTTCTGGTCACTGATTATTCTTATGAAATTCTTCTGTAGGGTAGACTCAGACAAAGTGTTAGCGCTTTGTCTATTTTCAGTGTGTACAAAAGTATATTTAATGGAAGCCTTTAATTTTATAAAAACGATTGTGCTAAGGTTTAAACATGCTTGTGGCACAGCAATCAAAGCATATATTATTGCTACAAGGAGGCTCAGGTTTTATTTAACCATGCCCCTTTATGCCCCTCCCACTGTTAAAGCAAATACTACTCTACTTGGGGGGTCGAAAGGTTCCCCCTTATTTCTTTTACAAACCTAGAAATGCACTTGCAGAGGATATTGATTGTTACAGAGGGAATTTACAGTTTTCAGAACTTTTCAACCTGAATCCAATGTCTCCTCGTTGCCTATTTAACAACCTATGGGGCCTTCCATTTTTTAGATATCTCTGGGGTCAGTTTAACACACTCGATCCAGAACAATCAAATGCGTCCTATAGAAAAGTTTTGATGCTTTCTGGAGTCCTGTGTCCTTCATATCTGCTATCTCTGGGAAAATGATCAACCAGAATTGCTTTTTGTTTAACTCGTTTTGTAAGAACTTGCACCACTCTTGCTCTTCAACAAATTGTTTTTTTCACAACTTGTCTGCATTGGATGAATAATGCTTGTAAACCGAATCATAATTTCTAGGAAAAGTTCAAATGATTTGAAGATATGCCTGTGAGAAAGGAGAATCAGAAATATAGAGTTTGCAAAGACTTCTCCAGCACCAAGGAGATTTATAGAGATCACCAAGGCACATCCAGAACTGAGAGGGAGAAAGAAATTCAGAAATAACAAAGACATCTCCAGCACAAAGAGACAAGCTACAGAGTTTAAAAGATTACAGACATACGTCCATCAATGAGAGACAGCATACAAAGAAATAAAGGTCAGGAGAAAACATGGTAAAAGCTCCACATGCCACACAAGCAGTAACTTACACATTTATCAACGTTGAATAAATGCCAATTCCCAAATCAATAGTATCATAACAAACAAAAATGGAAATGGTATAAGGGAATTTAGCTACGCATATACCTGTACTTTATTATATCATAGGATATGCCAACTTAAAGTATTACTAAACCCAGGACCCTTCATTCATTATATCTGGTCTCCCACAGTACACAGAACATGGAAATACAATTATTGTAGTAAATATAAACTGCTAAATACCTTTTCTCATCAGCAATATATAGCAGTCTTGAGATTTCTATCAGTGTCTGGCTGAGCACTGGTTAATCTTATAGGAGGAGTTTTCATTCTCCTCTGACTGTCCTATGAAGCTGCATAACCCCTGACCCTCTGTCTGAGCAGTGCTGATTGGCCCTGTGCCATTTACATGCACCCTCCCCCACAAAAAAAACAAAACTCTCTAGCAATACAGAGCAGAGTGACTCTTAGGGCTCTGTACTATCAGCAGATGGATTAGAGACTGTGGAAGAAGGAGAGACTCAGAGAAGACAGGATCAAAAAGCCTTAGGTTCCACAGTGAGTATAACAAGCATGCTTTACTGCATATACAGACAGATTTTACTGTTGTGGGTTTAGTGACACTTTAAATGTAAATCCCTTTTCAAAATAATCTCCCATAATACACATAAAATAAGATGTTGTCAACTGACATGAACATAACACCTATTCCCACATCACTCAATGAGACCTACACTCTACCTATTACATTATATGTGAAGCACAGTGGCTTAGAGGTGAGTACTTCTACCTTGCAGCATTAAGGGTATTGGTTTGAATCCCAACCGGGACACCACCTGCATGAAGTTTGCAGGTTCCCCCTGTGCTTGTGTGGATTTCCTCCCATGCTTCAAAGTCATGTTGGTGGGATAAGGAGCTCCTGCCTAAACTATCTGTAGTTTGTTTATGCATGTGAAGTAGGGACCCTAAATTGCAAGCTCCTTGAGGGGAGAAGCTGATGTAAATGTACGTGATGGTAAAGTGCTGTATCATCATTATATGAATACCTATAATAATAAGAAAGGAAAGAAAACAATCGTTTTTTAGTGAGAGAAACTGAGAACCAAGTAAATTGGTTCAAAAAAGTGCCATTGATTAGGGTAGTTGAAAAAAAACCCTCACCTCATGTGTAATAAAAGCAGAGCTCCACCCAAAAGGGGAAGTTCCACTTTAAGACCTCGTCCCTCGCTCCCCATTAAGGATTGGCACCTTTGGGGTGCGGGTTTTTTGTAGCTGCTGACTTTTGCTTGTTTTACATTTTGACTGGAGCTCCACTTTAAGTACATCACATGGGCCACATTGAGATAAGCTAGGAGAAACATTAAAAAAAATATTCTTCTGGCCAACTCTCAGGTTGCTGAAATTGTAGCACCTAGGCCTTTGATAACAGCACAGCAAGGGAAAAATCTGAAGGACCATTTAGCTTTGGGTTTATGCCAACCGAAAATGAAACATGGTTGAGTAAGACTACATTTCATGCTATATGCTGGTGAGGGAATTGTACTATTTGCCCATATAATTTTGACAGAAGTCATGTGTTTGAGATTAGATCATTTATTTATTGTCAAACTAACAGAGTTCTATAACAAATCTGTTGCCCTAAACAGACCATAGGGAAAACCAAATTTCATGTAAGGATTGATGGGCATCTGTGAGATGTTGGGGTTTATTTACTAAAGCTGGAGAGTCCAAAATCAGACTCCCTTCTGCATAGAAACCAATCAGCTTCTAACCTCAGCTTGTTCAATGAAGCTTTGGCAATGAAACCTGGAAGCTGATTGGTTTCTATGCAGAAGTGAGTCTGATTTTGCACTCTCCAGCTTTAGTAAATAAACCCCGTTGTGTCTAGGACAGTTGCTAGCCTATTAGCACAACAGCATGAGAAATATCAGATTCCAAGGCCTTCTTGTAAGGGGTACTTACAACCTACAATGACCTTCATGACACGGTAACTTTGATGCTGAATTGTGAAAAAGAGACTGTGTAGATCTACCTCCTGGGTAAACTGGTTGCCAGAGAGCTTAACAATGAAATACATTTTCAGGTCTATTTATGACTTGTTATTCTGATAGCCCCTTTTTTAAGTTGACTTGGGCTGGGACAATATGGTCCACCCACTTCAGTGATTGCCATAGTCGCATACCTGCATTTTATTTGTCATAATGTAGTGCAAGTACTTATGTTTCACATTTTTCTTTGCAGGTGCTTATGGATAGAGTTGTCTTTAAGTATGGCCCCTTAAATGAATGTAGCGCCCCTCTAGATAACCAGGGGGAGCTAGCTAGAGTTTAATTTTCATTTAGGAGGACTGAGTAGTAGCCTGGGAGTGATAGTTAGTGGGGTTAAATTGAGATCAGGGCTGAGAGGCTCTACAGGTCAGTTCCCTGATACCCCCCCTGCTCTAGAGATCTTGGAAAAGATTCTAGAAGCAGTGGGCGGGGGGTGAGGAGGAGCTGGCCTGCACACTTAGGGAACCCTGGCTAATCCCCAAGCAGGAGGCTTGGCATGGGGCCAGGGCCACCCTTAAATGTGAGAGAGCCTGCTCAGCAGCAGAAGAGTTTGGGTGGGAGTCCTGGGAGGGGGCCCAGATGGGAAGGGGCTCACCTACAGGCAGAGGAGCTGGAAAGGAGGAAAGATTTAGGATTTCATCAGCCCCCAGAGCGAGGACCATCTGTGTAGCAGGGAAGGAGCGATCCAGCAAAAGGCCTGAGAGCAGCCACCGACCCATCAGCTCACAGAGAGGTCTTAGTGAGTAGATCTTCACCCCGAGCCAGAATGGGGAAGGAGAGCATTAGTGGGAAACTGGATTAGCTTGCTACCCAGGACTATCTTATATTTCAAGTGAGAGGCACTGGATCCCCTGCCCATAGATTCCTTCAGGCAGCTGCATAGAAGAGTATCTGGAGCTTGGGGTGGTACACCAGGAGATGCTGGCTATCTCTCCAAGAAGATAATTTTTGCTGTTAAAGAGACTTGTACATAGTTCCAGGAAAATTGTCCTCAGTTGCCATTAACTTGGGCATCCCATACATCCCTTACCACATCCAAGTTCAAATCCCCTAAAAAAATCCCCAAAAAACAAGCTCAAGGACTGGTTACTGTCTCCTGGAAGCAAGCATGTGTTGCCTGGCTGTGCAGGACTATAGGGGGACCCAAAACTCAGCAACTCTTAGGGGGGTAGTTCTACATGAGGTATGTTTGAGCTGTACCATATGCTAGCGGGGGTGACTCCAAAGCACACAGGCACAGGAGTGGCAATATTCATGAAGACTCAACTGACTGATTGTCTGAGGATCCCCACAAGTCATCACACTTATAGATATCAGTCATTTGGGCTTCCGATCATGGACTGTCTGCTCTGCCTATGTCTTCTTGAGCACTGGAAGCATGCAGTGTGCCCCAAGAATTATAAACTAGCATATTCCTCACTGTTAGCTGGGCTTTCAAGTTATGAAGAATTTCTAGCCATAATGAGATTGTGCCTTTGCCATTATTCAAACTACAAGATTGGATTTATGAATATACACATATAAAAATGTTTGATGGTTACAGTCAGGTTACTTTCAGAGATGAAGCGAACCATAGCTGTTGGTATATATATATATGCATCAACTTGACATACACTGAGCTGCCAAAGCTGGATTGGACTTTGTTCTTGTAAGCAAGCTTTCTTTATATAATAAATGGCGAATATATATTAAGATTCATGGCTGATTTTTAAGAATCTCTATTTCAGTGTCACCATGTGTATAAACAACCACATGTGAGGGGGTGTTGAATGCACAACTGAACTGTTCACATTTGATCTAATTTATGTGGTGTGATACCAGCTATGAATTCTGGGATATAAAAGTTTATTCTTGGCTTAAAGGATAAGTTCACCTTTCATAACATGTTACACCCATATTCAGGGTTTAACATGTTATGAAAGGACTGGCCCCGCGCGCCTCATTGCTCCCCCGCTTTGACAGCTAGTGGGAGATCTTCTCATCCTGCTAGTTGTCAAAATTAAAAAAAAACATGGTGGTGCGGAGCTCCGCCTGCCCAGCTGCGTCACTCATTCACAGTATTATGTGAGCAGGGGAGGACTGACAACTCATGGGGCCCCCGGGCAATAGGGGATCATGGGGCCCCTGTGTCCTTGTCCAAACTCAAAAAAGCCTATGAAAAAGGTACCAGGGGCATCTCATGGGGCCCCCTACTGACCCTGGGCCCTCGGGCAGTGCCCGAGTTTCCAAATGGTCAGTCCGCCCCTGTCTGTGAGTATAGCCATAGCGGCTCTCGGCTTGTTCTCCATTGATTCTTCTTTTCAGAGTGTATTGGCTTCCTTATATGGGATGTATAGGCAAACAGATGTACTGACAGGTCTGCAGGAGTCCTGCACGGCACCAGCGATCTGCTGATTGCTTGTGCAATGCTTTCCAAGTTCCTGCAACAAAAAATAATATTTGCACATTTTTTTACCTGCAAAAAAACGTGCTTTTATTATTTTTTTGGCAAAGGGTGAACTTATCCTTTAGGAAGTCTCTCACTATTTAGTAATGTGATGGTATTATCAAGTATATCCCATCCTAGTGTGGATATTTCAGCTATTTGATGATTTCATCTCTTATTATCTTGCTCTTTTTCTCTCATATGTTACTGTATTGGGTAGAGTGTGCGTCTCGTCATGTTCATGAAGGAATAGAGGTTGTGTTCATGTCATCCGACAATGTTGGCAGGTTATTGTATGTTAATGATAGGAGATTATCTTGGAGAGGGATTTACACACAGCTTGCTATATCACATGGTGTTATAAAGTATGTTTTAGCTATATTCCCTTATACCTTTTTCTATTTTGTTTTTTGAAGATTCACAGTAAAGATCACTGAGACACCTGACAGAGCATACAGAGTTAAGCTATCCGTAGATATTAGAAATTGTTGGATGTGCATGCATTGTTCAAATGTCTCATGATGCCTCTATACTGAAGTCATCTCCACACAAATGTTGATTTTTAGGACAACTGAGCAGATAGAGAGAGCAGCGTACAGCTCAGGTAATACAGAAACAATAATGATCAATACAAGTTTTCAAATTTTGTTCATACTCACTCATACTTATTTATTGCTAGTGATACTCGGATTGGCTGCATATTTAGCAAAGAATAGTCTGTGTATGATCAGCCTAAATTAAAGTATATCTATAGCCAAAACTTTTTATAATTTTGGATAGGGGGGGGCTATAATCGAAAGGGACTATACTCCAGACTTCTACATTTACTGTGAGATTATGATGACCCAAATCCCAATATTGCTAAAGATTGAGCTTCTTTCCTTGATCCCAGGCAGGGCCGGTGCTTCCACTAGGCCAGGTGTAGGCAACCTGTGGCTCTCCAGCTGTTGCAGGACTACAAGTTCCATCATGCCTCTGCAAGTCATAGCTGTAACTGTCAGTTTTGTAATGTTGCAATGCCTCATGGGAAATGTAGTTCCACAACAGCTAGAGAGCCGCAGGTTGCCTACCCCTCCACTAGGCAAACTAGGCAGCCGCCTAGGGCGCACTGCCACCTAGGGGGATCTGGGCGCAGCACAGGCCGGCACTCTCTCTGTGTGGGACGCTGCCACATCATGAATGATCCTTCAGGTGAAGGGAAGGGCGGCAGAGGGGAGGAAGAAAGAACAGAGGAAGATGCTGGGAGTTGGAGCCAGTGTAGCAGCTGAGCTGCCACTCCTTCCAGTGTTCCTCTCAGACTCGGTTTCTTACTGGAAGCAGTGGCTGCTAATCACTGTGGAGTTCCAGCCCTTCTCTTTCCATTCATCAGCAGAGGCTGAGCTTCGCCTGTGGAGGAAGGAAATGTCTGACTCTGATGTATGGTGTCTATGTCAGTGTGACCCGGCCAGTCAGGTCCATCCATAACATGTGCGATGTGTCAGTGAGTGATGACATCATCACAATCCCACAGCCTGCTCTTTTAGTGCCTGCTGATCTGTGTTAGTGTTGGTGTGTTGTGTCAGATCTGGCACTCTGTGGGATCGCTCAGTTTAGGTGTTCTCTGTGTGTGTGGGCGGGACTTCCTGGTGTCACAGCATTTTATCTCCCCCCATTGCCTCGGGAAGTCCAGCCTGGGATCTGTCAGTGTGGATCCATCATCCTCCACTCACTGCAACTGTCACCCTGCCACTGCCAACCACAGATACAGTCCGTCCATGACACTGATTTTGTCTTTAATATTGGTGCTGGTGGCATCTTATGGAACTTATTTTGCAAATTAAAAGAAATTTAGCAGTTTCATGTTTAGTTGATTTAATATTTCCTACTGTTTCAACGGGGGGGGGGGGGGGGAGTGCAATTAGCTGGTCTTGCCTAGGAAGCAAAATATTTTAGCACCGGTCCTGATCCCAGGCCCTACAAAATTAGTCAAGATGTCTTCTGGCACTTTCTAGTTGCAGCCAGGACGGTCATACCCTCTTATTGGAATTCTACAACCACATCTTCCCCGGCTGAATGGGTAAATGAGCTAGACTCAACAAATATGTCATAATACAACACCAAGAAAAGTGCCTAAGGAACTTTGTGTCTCACAAAGTCCCTTGGGCACTTTTCTTGGTTTTGTATTATTGCATTTCTTATGCAACTGAGTCACATCATGCCCACACACATCAGCCCTCTATTTTGATTATTGTCAACAAATATGTCATTACCTGGTAAATCTGAAAATAAGAAAATTTTGGGCTTGTTGCAGGCTTACCGACATTAGTCCGAGCGGTCTGAAAGCGGGCAGGCTCTTTGACATTGTCAGCCACTAGAAAAGCTCCTTCTTCCAATATGTCCAGTAACATGGTAGCAGCATGCTCCTGCTCTGTGGTATTCATATCTCGCCATGAGGGTAACGCTTCTGGCCGTAAGAGGTTATCTACTGTTTCCACCACCGCCTTTAAACAAAAAAACATATATAAGCTAAGTATAACTGTCTGTAAAAGACCCGATTGCTTAATAGAAAATACTCACACCCAAAATATAGCTGCATATATACTGTATTTAGCACAGCAATACTGAAAATTCATGCTCAGAGTGTAACTGTATTGTAACAGCTTATTTTGGTAAAAGAAATACACCAAATACAGCTGCTTATATATCAACCAACTTTAAGGGTCCATTCATACCAGATTTGCTGGCACATTTTTTTTAATGCATGACGTTGCAAGGGCCTGTAAAGAATAAGGTATATAAGTGGAAGCAGATCGAACTGACGGGTGTATTTATCAAACAAGGCATTTTCAGGAGGCTGCGCTGCCCCAGGCAAAATGGACACATGTGGCAGTTGACAGAGGAAGGAGAAGCAAGTGAGGAACTCCTGAGGATGGTGTTGAGGAGTAGGGTCATCTCCAGAGAACCTCCTCGCAGGAGGAGCTGTTATGTTTGCAACAGTCTCCTCTGGGATCCACGAGAGGCTACGGGCTGCTGGATGTCAGACTTTCCCTCTTGTCCTGATCATGGCTTCGGCGGTGCCTGGTGGATATCATTCTGTGAGCTGTGCAGGTGGCGGATGTCATTCTGTGGGCTGAGCCAGTAGTGCAGGGGTGTCAAACTGACGGCCCTCCAGCTGTTGTGACACTACAAGTCCCATCATGCCTTTACCTTTGGGAGTCATACTTGTAACTGCCAATCTTGCAATGCCTCATGGGACTTGTAGTTTGGCAACAGCTGGAGGGCGGCCAGGTTGACACCTGTGCGGTAGTGGATGTCATTCTGTGGGCTGTGCCGATGAGTGCTAGAACAACCCTCTCTCTCACCTTCTCTCCCTCTCCCCCCCCCATCCATTACGATGCCATCACTGGCTCCAGTTTGGATGGGGAGGGGGGTGTCAAATTTTACTCTTGCCTAGGGCAGCATGAAACCAAAATACACCACTGCACACTGGTGCTTTGCACTGATATGTGTAGAGCAAGCCTTACTTTTTTTCAGCACGGCATTACACAATGCATGATAATGTCTGTTAGCACAGTGCAACATGCATCAGCACACAGAGAAAAAACAGCAGACCAGCACAAGTTTGGCTCCTCTGCCATGCCGTAGACCTTTGGCACATGAAAAGAAAAGCGCATACACAATGCACCACAGTGAAGCATGCCAATGCACATCAACTTACAAAGAAGCTGGTTCCAAATCAGGATTGTTCTTTGCAGTATCCCACCCCGTTTGGTCTGCTTTCCCATTCCTGTCAAGCTTTCCAGCCATTAGCACTCTTATTCCTTGCTGACACTAGTAACAGGCCAGAGAACCTAAAAATACTTGGCACCATTTCTACTATTAGGCCACACAGCTACTTTGGAATGTTTTATCTTTAATACTTTCCTTTTCAGCAGGCAATAAGTCCAATATCCACTTTCTAAAAGAGCTGCATGCTAATGTTATCCAATGCTTTTGGGTGTGTTGTATACCTGATCCCTCTCGGGCAGTGTCGTTCCTCTCGTCCACTGCTATGCTACAACATACCAGAGAGCACTGGAGACGTATACTGCAGAGCTGCCATGTTTATTTTTGCTCCACTGCACCAGGTTTCTCAACACTGGATATGTACATACATACATACAGTGGGGATCGAAAGTTTGGGCACCCCAGCTAAAAATTTGTATTAATGTGTATAAAGAAGCCAAGGAAAGATGGAAAAATCTCCAAAAGGCATCAAATTACAGATTAGACATTCTTATAATATGTCAACAAAAGTTAGATTTTAGTTCCATCATTTACACTTTCAAAATAACAGAAAACAAAAAAATGGCGTCTGCAAAAGTTTGGGCACCCTGCAGAGTTAATATCTTGTACTGCCCCCTTTGGCAAGTATCACAGCTTGTAAACGCTTTTTGTAGCCAGCCAAGAGTCTTTCAATTCTTGTTTGAGGTATCTTTGCCCATTCTTCCTTACAAAAGTCTTCCAGTTCTTTGAGATTTCTGGGCTGTCTGTCACGCACTCCTCTTTTAAGGTGTATCCATAGATTTTCAATTATGTTGAGGTCAGGAGATTGTGAAGGCCATGGCAAAACCTTCAGTTTACGCCTCTTGATGTAATCCCCCGTGGATTTTGAGGTGTGTTTAGGATCATTATCCATTTGTAGAAGCCATCTTCTCTTTAACTTCAGCTTTTTCACAGATGGCATCAAGTTACCATCCAAAATTAGCTGAAATTTTATTGAATCCATTTTTCCTTCTACTCGTGAGATGTTCCCTGTGCCACTGGCTGCAACACAACCCCAAAGCATGATTGATCCAACCCCATGCTTAACAGTTGGACAGAGGTTCTTTTCATTAAATTCTGTGCCCCTTCTTCTCCAAACGTACCTTTGCTTATTCTGGCCAAAAAGTTCAATTTTAACCTCATCGGTCCACAGAACTTGTTTCCAAAATGCATCAGGCTTGTCTATATGTTCATTTGCAAAGTTCAAACGATGATTTTTGTGGTGAGGACGTAGAAGAGGTTTTCTTCTGATGACTCTTCCATGAAGACCATATTTGTACAAGTATCTCTTTATAGTGGAATAGTGTACCACAACTCCAGTGTCTGCCAGATCTTTCTGGAGGGATCGTGCAGTCAAACGTCGGATTTGAATTGTTTTTCTCACAATCCTGCGAGCTGTTCTGTCTGATATTTTTCTTGGTCTTCCAGATCTTGCTTTAACTTCCACTGTTCCTGATGACTGCCATTTCTTAATTACATTCCGAACAGAGGATATTGACATCTGAAAACACTTTGCTATCTTCTTATAGCCTTCTCCAGCTTTGTGAGCGTCAACTATTTTCAGTTTCAGTTTTCTAGAAAACTGCTTAGAAGAACCCATGGTGCTGATTGTTGGGGCAAGGTCAGATGAGTCTGGGCATTTAAAACCTTTGAGATTGACATAACCTGGTCTTCCCAGATGATGATTGAGAACAATCCATGACACTGGCAGGTCTCAGCTTTGCAAAGGGGGCAGTGCATGCTATAAATTCTGCAGGGTGCCCAAACTTTTGCAGACGCCATTTTTTTGTTTTCTGTTATTCTGAAAGTGTAAATGATGGAAATAAAAATCTAACTTTTGTTGACATATTATAAGACTGTCTAATCTGTAATTTGATGCCTTTTGGAGATTTTTCCATCTTTCCTTGGCTTCTTTATTCACATTAATACAAATTTTTAGCTGGGGTGCCCAAACTTTCGATCCCCACTGTACATAAGTAGTGGACAAGGTCCAAATGGTGGATAAGGACAATGATAATGAAAGTCCTGGGACATGCACCTTCTATGTAGCTTCTGTTTATGTCCTAGGTTTATGTATATATATATATATATATATATATATATATAAATATATATATATGTGTGTGTGTTTTATTGGTAGCGGAGAGAGAGGGGTTCTGCAGTTACCTTGATATAGTCCTTACAGGTCCTTTCTCTCTTGTGCATCTGTAAAACAAACACAAAGGGTCAGTGGTGGTAGACAGCCCTTCCAAACCTGTAACTCACGAAGCTGCCAACGACAATCACAAAGCCAGATGTGGATCAGTAAAATCTATATAGCTCGGCTTAAAGCTGACTGTTGCCATGATACTGAACTTCGCTCAGAGCTAATGGACTTAATAGGCTTAATCATCATTCCTAGAGGACTGAGCTTGTCACAGACCCTACTGTGCTCCCATTGTGCTACTAAGCTCACACAATGTAGAGTAGCTACTTGAGCCCCCTGACAGTGACACAAGTTGTAAGACTCTTAAGCTGGTCATAGGTACTAAACTGAGCAAAAAGGGGCCTCTGAAATTCAAAGGTTAAACAAACCTATTGTTAGACATGCACCCTAGTATCATAGGAGTATGCAATTGATGGACTAAGCAGGCATGAAGAGAACAGCAGTGACCATTTAGGAAAAACCAACATGACTGGTAGACTGATTAGCCAAGTTTCATGGAGATATTTTTATAAATCTCTTCAGAACATAATTCAAAATCAACAAAATTGCCTTACAATCATCCAAAGAACCATTCGTTCCTTTACTTGCAAGTGGCAGTGCTGTATCTTCGGCATTAGTTGTCACGTGTCATTTAAAACAGAACTTCACTCTGTCAATCAACTTTGATTATTTTTAATTCTTATGCTGCTAGTATTAGTAAATAGATAGGAAAGTATATCATATTTATTTGTTTTAAACTTTTTTTCACATTTCTTCAGTTACTTTCTGGTTTCCAGGCCTAGGAAAATGTTGTCATACATCCCAAGAGTATTCAGGAGGGATTTTCCAGCTGAGCACACCCTGCTGACTGCATGCCTGAGCTAAGGACCAATGGATTCCTGGAAGTAAATGCTACATGAATCATCTGCTCTTACTCAAAATGTCCACGGCTGGAAATGCTAAGGAGTGTTGTTCAAAGTTATTTCTTAGCAAAATAAAGCATGGAGTTATGGCATAAGGCCAATGTGGTGCCAATATTTAAAAGGGGTCAAAATCTTTATCAAGTAATTATAGACCTGTTAGTTTAACTTCTATAGTTGGGAAGATACTGGAGGGTTTAATAAAAGGCCACATAGATGAGTTTTTGCTGGAAATAAATATTTTAAGCAACAGACAGCATGGATTCATAAAAGACAGAAGTTGTCAAACAAATCTGATTTCTTTTTATGAGGAGGTGAGCAAAACCTTGGACAGAGGGGTAATGGTGGATGTAGTATACTTGGACAGAGGGGGGGCGGTGGACGTGGTATACTTGGACAGAGGGGTGGCGGTGGACGTGGTATACTTGGACAGAGGGGTGGCGGTGGACGTGGTATACTTGGACAGAGGGGTGTCGGTGGACGTGGTATACTTGGAGAGAGGGCTAGCGGTGGATGTGGTATACTTGGCTTTTGCGAAAGCGTTTGACACAGTTCTCCACACACAGCTAATGTGTAAGGTAAAGTCTACGGGCTTGGAAAAATCTGTATGTTAATGGATAGAAAACTGGCTAAAAGATCGTATTCAGAGAGTAGTGGTTAATGATTCATACTCTGAATGGTCTACGGTTGTCAGTGGTGTACCCCAGGGTTCAGTGTTGGGACTCGTACTTTTTAATATATTTATAAACGATATAGGGTCTGGGATTATAAATCCTCTGTCAGTCTTTGCAGATGACACCAAGCTGTGCAGTGGAATAACGTCCTTACAGGATGTCTAAACTTGCAAGCCGACCTCAATGCACTGTTTAATTGGGTAACTATGTGGCAAATGAGGTTTAATGTTGATAAATGTAAGGTTCTGCACTTGGGGGCTAAGAATATGCATGCATCATACATACTGGGGGGGGTACAACTGGGGGAATCAATGGTGGAGAAGGATCTGGGAGTTCTGGTAGATCACAAGCTTAATAATGGCATGCAATGCCAAGCTGCGGTTTCTGAAGCGAACAAAATCCTCCATTGTATTAAAAGAGGTATAGACTCCAGAGAGAGAGATATCATTTCCCCCGGTACAAATCATTAGTAACACCTCATCTGGAATATGCAGTTCAGTTTTGGACACCAATTTACAAAAAGAACATTGGGGAACTGGAGAAAGTACAGAGAAGGGCAACCAAACTGATACAAGGCATGGAGGAGTTCAACTATGAGGAAAGATTAGAGGAACTGAATTTATTCTCTCTTGAGAAGAGGAGATTAAGGGGGATATGATCAACATGTATAATATGTAAGGGGGGATATGATCTCCATGTATAATACATAAGGGGGGATATGATCACCATGTATAATACATAAGGGGGGATATGATCAACATGTATAAATACATCAGTGGTTCATATAGTGAACTCGGTGTGGAGTTATTCACCCTGAGGTCATCACAGAGGACAAGGGGGCACTCTTTACGTCTGGAGGAAAATAAATTTAATCCCCAAACACGGCAATGTTTCTTCACAGTGAGAGCTGTGAAAATTTGCAATAGACTCCCTCAAGAGTTGGTTCTGGCCAGCTCAGTGGATTGCTTTAAAAAAGGCCTGGATTCTTTCTTGGATACACAGAATATAACAGGTTACTAACATTTATAGGTAAAGTTGATCCAGGAAATATCTGATTGCCTCTCGGGGGATCAGGAAGGAATTTTTTCCCCTGCAGGAGCAAATTAGATCATGCTTTGCTGGGGGTTTTTTGCCTTCCTCTGGATCAACTGTATGTGTAGGATTATAACTTTGTTTTTATTTTTTTTTAATGATTGAACTAGATGGACTTTTGTCTTTTTTTCAGCCAGACTAACTATGCAACTATGACATGGATGGAGGGGGAGTTTGCTTTTAATATTATAAAATAATTTAACAGCATTTTTGGTTTGTGGTGCGAGGATGCAGTGTAGGTCTGCTTTAAGGCTAGAACTGCACTGGCAATCAAACCTATCTGATACTCAGTGACCTAAAGTGGGACCAAACTCTCCAGTCCTTTACATCCAAGGAAGCTTTCATCATTGCCTCTGTTTGATCAGCAGTTGCCATGGTGCCGAACATGTGACCAGTTATGACACCAGCCATTTGAAGGCATAAATAGTGTTGTTGAGAACACAACCAACTGTGATAACTGCCATTTACAGCATGCCTTGACTGGAACTCATTTCGAAAACCATTGGTTTAGTTCTGCTTTAACTGCTTGTTGACTGGTATCCCATTGTTAACAGACAATTAGATCAGAGCCAAGTCTAGATGTCTTTAAAGTCAGCCATAGACGTTCGAATCTTGGCTGGTTTAGCAGGAACCAGACGAGATTCGAATCATATATGAGCAGGCTGAATGTACCCAAGTTGATTGACCGACTAACTTGGGTGCAACCATCCTGCCGGATTTTACATCCGATTATCACTAGCAACTGTTATAGCCACTAGTAATAATCACTGTCTTCTCCTGGCTGGGATGGCTTCCACTGCTGGGAGAAAACAATGGCTTTGCAAGAGTGATTTCTCTGCCAACATTGACCCATGGCAGCAGTAAAGAAATTTGCACCTATGGCCTGCCTTAGTGGCAAATAAACTTAATACCTCATGTAGCCACAATCCTAACTCTTTAATTGGGTTGACATTGGTTTGAGGGGCTTACACAGTAGTCATGGAACATGACTTGGTAATAGCAACCATGGTCAGTCACAGTTGATCTTCTAATAAGCAAAGAAAGTTGGGGCCAAATTTACTTAATAATGTTAGACCAAAAATGGGTAATCTTACCCTGTTGTAATTCTTTCCTGCACTCTCTCTCTCTATTGGGCGTAGTGCTTGTAACTGAGCATCCAGAATATCCACAAGCTGTTCCAAAAGTCGAACGGTCGATGTGACATCCCCAGCGTAGATCTGTCCACGGGTGTGACGGGCTAGTTCACCAGCAATGTTAGCTGCATTCTCCCCACTCTTAATCTGAAGTGCACAGTATGGAAAGGGTGATGCCAATGTTGAAGCATTACATTACAAATGCAAAAGTGGCAGATTTAGGGGAAACAAACTTAGAACTCATTCACAACATCATTAACATTAACTCAAACACAAACACAACGCAACTTGTATAAGAAAATCATTGTGTGACAGAATCTTTGTACAAGTAACAACACTATAGGTCTCACCTTCTGTGCCACCTGATTGACCCAAGGAGAGGTACAGTTACTGAGGTCAGGGCCACGAGGGTTCCATATGGCCACTGTTGGCATACACAGGAATGAAGCAATGCCTTGGAAGGAGATAAAAACACAAGAGTTTTAAAAAGAAGATAATAAAAAATGATTTGACACATATTTTTGTGGCCATTGGATGTTTCATAGCTCCTACTTAGAAGCATACCTTGCGTTCCAAGCAATGGATTTTGGTTAAGATCTGGTAAGTTGGTTGTGTGGACTAATAAATGAATACCCTTAAACGATGTGCCTGCATTCATTTTCTTTTTTTTCAGGCATTTTACCCGGTAATCTTATGAAGAACACACTTCCTGTCCTAGGGTGACTACATTCACAGTATCTACGGAGGCAGGAATAGTTGCCACCCATGCTTTGTTTCAAACATGTCTACCTCTCTTTATCTCCATTACATGGGAGGTATGGGATTAGTAGTTTACAAAATTAGGATACAATGAATTTTGCTTCCTGTGCAGCTCAGAGGAAGTGACAAGGACACTTGTTCTTAGCCTGAAAAAAACAACAAATACAGTCTTAAGGCTACATGTACATTGGAACTGCCATAAGCATTAGGTCTACTGGCAGCTGGAAAACGCTAGACACAGCAAAAACGGTACCGTGTTTAGCCGCGTATAACCATGTTTAGCACTTGGACGTTTATTCATTTCATTGGCCAGAATACTTGCCAGTGAAATGAATAAATGCCCAAGCCTTAAAAGGGGTCAGCGTTTAGGCGCGTTTACATATGTTTTTGCTGTGTTTGGTGTTTTATTGGCCTACATGTTCCTCTCCTGAATGTGATTCCTCTGCATTCATGAGAGGAAGGTTTAACTGCCCTAAACTCTGCTGCTGCTAAACTCTGGAGGAAGGTTTTGTGTACATGGACACGTGGGGAGATTTACTAAAACTGGAGCACACAGAATCTGGTACAGCTCCTGCATGGAACCAATCAGCTTCTAACATCAAAAAATAAAATGGTATACTCAGTGAGCGCTTAATAGTATTATAGCAGCTAAAAACACAAAAAGTGCTGACATCAGCCCACCAGTGTAAGAGGAGAACGCCAGGTCCAGTGCGATCTATCCTGCCTATACACCCGAGAGGCTTCCACGGTGACACTCGGTGGTTATTCCAAGGGAGACAACCACTGTTCTGCCGAATACCAAGAGGGGTAGAGTCCGTTAGAGACAGCCCAGCTCATTCATCCCATCCCATGAGGGGGACCTCTGGTTATTGGTTATATGTGTATTACACATCTGGTGAGTGCGTATTTTAACTAATTTATCACCTCGCCACTGGAACGTGTAGTCACTAACATCTGCTGTACCCATCACCTACAACAGACTGTCACCATTTTAATATATATAGATTTTAATATATTATGATCTTATCAATTCATGATTTTATTTTTAGCCTGATTATGGACTTGGATTTGAATACGTTTTACTAATATGGATCTGCATTTGTTTTAGCGTTGCACTTTCTTTTTAAGCTTCTAACATCACCTTGTTCAGCTAAGCTTTGACAATAAAACCTGGAAGCTGAATGGCTACCATTCAGAGCTGCACCAGATTCTGTGTGCACCAGTTTTAGTAAATCTCCCCCATAGGCTTTTATTGAGTTGAGTTCGAGAGCTTTGGCAAAAAAAACACCAAAAGCTCCTAAACTCACGTTTAGGAGCAGCAGTGTACATGAAGCCTTATACTGGTAGGCTGCAATATATTACAGTTTTGTTCTTGGTTTTAGTTATCTTTTAGGCAATAAAGCCTATCACAGGACCTACCCCTGCTTGTGATTGGAGCATATAGGGGCATCCTCATGCTTTCTTTTAAACATGCTCACTCAGCACTGTGTAAAACAATAGAGCCTGATTGGTTGAGTGCTACCTCTCTCTCAGAGTTCAGCGAGTAACCGGAGACTAATATCAAGACAAATTCATGTACTTGTAATAAAGTAAATTCAGGTAATTGTATAAAAATTTTTTTTTGAGAATACACAGCAGGGTTAAAGTGTGTTTTTATATTTGCTCGGTGCCCAGTTTTAAATACCACTGTATATTGCTATACATAAATATATAAACTAAACTGTATTTGTTCTGCATTAGGATGCATGCTCGTGGGCATTTCCACATGCTGACTTTCTGACTGTGCTGAGCTGTGTTCTTTCATGTTTCAACAGAAAACTGCTAATTTATTGATTTTTATGAAGCTAGACTTGGTTGAGTTTTGCTCTTCTTAGCCAATATGTGGCATTTTCACAAACATGGCAGATACATCCTACAATGACAACTGAGATTTTGTTCCAGAACTGATCTGTCAGAGCAACAAAAATTAAAAATAACTACATTGGGCTTGCCTAAAAAGCTAATTCAAATTATATATAGTAATGTAGACCCTCACACTTAAGAGTTTTTGGCAAATATGCTGACCTGACATGTCAAAACTAAAGTGAAATCCATAGTTGGCAAGCACAGAATCATGTACACATTGACTGATGTTCGCATGGTGCATCCAAGACCCACAGTATTCATCTCACACTTAAAAGTATTGAGATTCAGGCATGAATCAGTAGAGCGAGTACCTCGGTCATCTTAACAAAATCTGGGATGCAGTTTTATATTGGACTGTATGCTTCTATCATGAGGTATCAATGAAAATGATAATGCCATCCATTTTGTCAGTAAATAGTGCTAGCCATGCAAAAATATAATGTCCTTGTCTTGTAACGTTAACAAAAATGGATGATGAAGCCCATGACTGTGGGCATTTTCATTCATATCACAGGCATTCTTTGCTTCTATAAGCTCTTATCTCCATTAAAAACAAAGGAGAGGTTTGTTATGTCTAATCATGGCCTTTAGATGTCCTTGTACGGCATGAACAACAGCATATTTGGATTAAAAAAAACCTTCAAAAATGGAACTACAGCCTTACAGTGTGGATCATTAGAAACTTCCCCAAGATTAGGAATAATACAAAATCTTTAGATTGTTACATTACAGTGTGGAGGCATCTCAGACCCCTTATGCCTGCACAGGCCTATGAAGTATTTCTAAAGCTTTTTTTTTCTTTTTTTTGAGAGAATGGCTAAAAGTTTTTATTTTTTTTGGCTGTTATGTTTTTGCCATTTGTGTCACCCTGGGGAGATCCCTTCCTGCCCCAGAGACAAAACAGGAAGAAGGAGAAAATATCCCCAAAGGGTAGACAACTGTCAAAGGAACAAGCGTCCCCAATTGGAAGACGTAGTCTTCATTTAGATTTTCCATCACTTTCTGTCCTGGTAAAAACGATAGAGGTTAAATCTCCCACAGACAGCAATAAAAACCCCAAAGAGGTTCCAACCACTCCTGACTCCATATCAAAACTAAAAATAGAATTTCTGCTTTCTGTATGAGTTAAAGTGTCCTCAGACATTTAATGACAGCTGCCTGATCTGGCCTTTTTTGGCTGGGACCAGAGAGAATTTATCTATGGCACAACAGCATGCTTCTTGATGAAAGAAGTGATCAAAAATGCTTGAAAACCTGTTGCAGAATCTACAGCTCAGGATCTAGTGGTCTTAATAAAATCTGCACTGGCTCTGGCTCCGGTGCCAGCTGCTTTCTTAACTTCACCCCATCTGCTTGTGATAGTTATGTCAGAAGTTGCAGCCATGTAAATGCTGGAAACACCTTACATACATACTTACTTGCAAGATGTTATGTCTGAAATCTGCCATTGCCATACCATTTTAAAATGAGTCTGCTCATTCAGGGCAAAGTAAAAGTCCTCTTTGTAGACCAACCTTTCCCGTGTTCCACCTCCACCCTTTTCATCTCCCAGAGCCTTGAGTCTAATCCTGGTGTAAGAGCTATATCATAATTTACAAAGGGTTAATGACCTGCATCCTTTCCCTAGGTGACAGATTTTGGGTCTGATAAATGGCCACTTAGGCCCAAGCACTAAATTTATGGCGAAAGGAGAGGTCAGATCTTCCACCATTCTCGAAGCATTAGGGATTTCTGAGGACTCTTAACAGGTAAAGTGCAGCAAAAATGAGTATCAATAGGGGAGGAAGAGTGGTTTGTTATTAAGAGAACCTGAATGGGCAAAGTGAGATGTCTGTGTTCATAAGGATTACATAAAAAGACATCTATGCTCACCCTATAGTCAGGATAAAATGAAAGCTGCTTCAGTGTAGAAGCCATCTGCCAAATTTAGCTGAATACACTCTTATGCTGCCCATACATTCTAAAATGTTGTGTCAGTTTTAAGAGCTATCAGCTTTTAATCCAAATACCAATCACATGGAATCTAGTATCTACTGTAATTTGCCACTCACGGTTTAGACTATTTTTCAAGTTCAATCAAGTGATTAAAATTGGGTAAAAAAAAACCGAAAGAAAATGCCTTTCAGTTTTGATTGGTTTTTCCACCACAATTTCAAAACTGGGAGATTGGAATCGGATGTATAGTTTCCAAAATTGCCAAGTGTACGGCTAGCATAAATCCTAAAATTGTCAATTTCAACAACTTGGAATCCACCAGAAATCCCACTTACAAGTGAAAGTAATCAACTGTAAGTAATCAATTTACTCCTGGGTTCACTGGACCACTCACTGGTTTCCAATTTGGCAGTAAATTTACAGCTATATTACTGATTGAATTGCAAATGTAAAAAAACACAAAAATCTTGTTGAAATTGATCGTATTTTCCAGATATGTTTGAGAAGAACAATATGGATCACATCTACTTGTAGTCAGTTGACATCACATTCTGACTTCTATTGCTTTGTGACTTTGGTAAACAATGGAACTGAAAGTGTGATCAAGGTGCCAGATATGTGGCAAGTTAGAGTGAATCACACAACATTATTTTTTTTTAAGGATTAGACTATCATACCAAAAGCTAGACTATTTACAGCGATTTACAATACCACAGATTGTGTTGTTACTTTGTGAATATTTATGTGAATTAATGCAATTTTTCTGCAAAAACACTTTGGTTAAAGCCGAATATGAATCTGCAAATCAAGAATCAAAATAAGAATAAATTATGTCCTTTTCATGCAACGGTGCACATAAGATGAGAGCGTTTGGAACACGGCTCATGATAGCATTGACTTAATCTCTTTTTTGGCTAACATTGTTTGATATGTTTTTCATGATCTCCGGTGTCTGCCTGGCTTAATTACTCAACTGACCTTTACAATATGACTTCAACCCTGAAACTTGGAGTACATTCTATAAATGGTTGCTGAAGTCAGAATTGTGTGACATGCTAAACTTCAAACCAACAGACTCTAGCATCAAATTTTGTACTGGGAGATGGAGAGGATATGGCTTAAGCAGAGTGATCTTGTAATAATATACCAGTGTTCACTGCACATTCTGCCACTTCCTAGACTGGCTCCTGTCAGACCTTCCCTTTAAGGTGATGGCAAGAGTCCATGGAATCCACTAACGTTTGTACAGCAAATGCTGCCTAAAGCAGCACTTATAATGCAAACTCTCCCCATTGGTAGAGGAAAACCATGCCAAATGTGTACTGTTTCCTCTATAGTCACAAGAATAAGCAATAACTAAAGGCTACCTGGCATGCTCTCAGTCTTGTTTCATCTTGCACCTAGAGGCTGGAATAGCCAAGCCAATAGTAATTTTTAGCTTCTTCTTAGATGGAAATGCCTATAATTTTATTCAGAAAGCAACTCACCACGGGTGCCCTTTGGGCATGGTCTCTCCACTCTCATTCCTTGCTGAGTAGCTGGCCACAGGATTTTCCTCTCCTCACGGGCAGGGCAGAAGACCTCAGGGTGTGAATGCTGGTTGGAAGGGGGTGGGCGTCGAGTGCCTGGAGTAGGAGGGTCATGTCCTACTTGGTTTATAGCCCCCACAGGGTGTGTGTGGTGAGAGGAGGGCGGCGGACAGTTGTGGTGGCAGAAGGTAGAGTGGTCACAGTCACTGGAGGGGGAGGTAGAGTAACTGTAACCACAGGAGGGGTGGGAGTAACTGGACCTAAAAGAAGAAAAACACAAAAGATGATTAGCATCAATGGTAAGATATGCAACAAATCTCATAACTACATAGTGGAACATTTAAGACCTCATCTCCCCAATGCACTCCACCATCTCCAATAAATACTATAAATATTTGGTTCAAATGTCTCCTATTTGTAAGGCTGCTATTCTTTTCAGATTCCATAAATCCGGGCTGCCCCACCAGTTAGGGTGTGTAGATTTTGCCACATATAGTGAATTTAATTTTTTTATCCGCCATTAATGTACACATTTATTTCCAATATTCATATACTTTTTCATTAACAATTGATATAACACACAGTTGATGCAAAAGACATTTTTATATATGAATATTAAAAATTACCTATTTCTTTCTGCGTCATTGTAAAAATTTACATTTTTCTTCCTTTCAACCATAACAACGGTTTTCAATCAAAATGCAAAAAAAATCCCAGAATCTTTACACAGCTCCTATAATTGGTTTCCTACTCTTTCATAAATGTCTGGGCAGCCAGCCTGTTACGTGGAACACAGAATCCAAGGCAATGTATAGTTTACAGCAATGTAAGTTTAAACTTTTATTTAGGTGTTGTACATCAAAAGGGATTGGGAGGATATAATTTTTTTTCTTTGAATGCAATGCTAAGTGCAATCACGATTAAAATAAAGGGAGAATACCTCACTTAGCACTTAATGGAAAGAATTACAGAGGTTCTATAGCCTAAACATTTTTTACCTTACTGCATTCTCTACATTAGGGTAAAAAATGTTTATACATTCTTTATTTAGTAGTCAAAGAATTCAGCAATGTGATACAGAACATAAGGTAAAAAATATTTAGGTAACAGTATTGCCCCCTCACCCTCCTTATACTTACCTGAATGCTCACTCAACAGAGTGCTGTGGCTCTGTCCTTTCTCCTTGCTTTCACAGGCTTTGCTGAGGCAACAGGAGCCATTGGCACCAGCTGCTGTCAGTCAAATCCTGTGATGAGAGAATTGGGGTACGGGGCCAAGCCACACTGTCTGTGTCTATGGACTGAGGCAGTGCAGCTTGGGCTCAAGCCTGCACGGGTGCCCCCCATAGCATGAGGCTTGCTACAGGAAGGCTTGCTACACTCACAAAAGAAAAGGAGTCAGGAGCACTGGTGAGGGTTCCGAAAAGAGGAGTTTCAGAGCTGCTCAGTGCAACTCCATTGCGCAGAGCAGGTAAATATCATATGCTTGTTATTATAAAATATACCTTTACAATCACTTAATTACAACCACCACCATTTTTTTTGGATGGAATAGGGAAGGGTTTAAACCCCTAATTATTATTTATTTTTGCTATCTGAGCATCATTGGGGAAATTTCCCTTTAGTCCCTGTCCCAGAGATGCAACAGGAAGGTAAAAGTCAACGAAAGTGAGTTTTTTTTTAAAACTTCTTCAACAGTTGTCCACAGAACAGTTGTCCGCTTTGAAAGATTTTCTCATTTTCTCAAGTGTTCCAATGGAGACACAGGCTTGGATAATCCAACCTTCACACTATACTCAAAGCTAAAAAAAAGATTTTGCCTAGAGATACATTTATAAGTGTACCTTGCATAGCCCAAAAAAATACTGTTTTTTTAAGTAGAGTAGGGAAGGCTTAAAACCCCTATTTGCTATTTTTTATGTTTGGGAAGATTTCATTTCAATTCCTGTCCTGGAGATGCAATAATCTGGTAGGTGTATGGAAGCACAGAATATAGAGACCCGGTCATGATCTAGACTGCTGCCTCTCTGATCACAGTGGATCTATTGTTTATCAGATGATCTCTTCTTCGATATGGGCTGAGGAGCTCCTTGTAAAAATAGTCATCTAGCTTGGTGAATCATATAAAATGTGTATTGCTTAAGAACATCAAATACAGCATCAAAGTGTATTTGATGTTCTTAAGCAATAAACATTTTATAGAAATCACCAAGCTAGAAGACCGTATTTACTAGGCGCTCCTCAGCCTACAACCTGGAGATGTAGCAGAAAGTGAGAGGAAACCGTAAGTGGAATTCCTCTTTCAGACAGTTGTCACCAGGACAGGGGTCACCAGTAACCATTTTCCCCCACATTCTGTCCTGTTGACAGTGGTCACCATGATAAATAGAGAGTTATTTCCCTGCGAGGACACAGGCAGCAACAAAAAATTAAACTGGGGCTCCATACTTTTTTCAAAACAAAACAAAAAAAAATTGTTTATACAATTTATACAAACACTTTTACCAAATTCCCTTGTGTGTCCACACCGAGGAGAAACATTTAAGGATCTGTACTCAAAAATGTCAAATCCTTGTAATGTAGATTGTAGGGATTTTTTTTATTCTCCACCCCAAAAAACTAAGTCCACCATAAGAATATCAAAAGAACGAACTTACCTCCCGACCCAGCCTGCTTCCTCAAAATCATAAAAGAAGCGAGATAATGATGTCTCTAAAAACCCTAGCTCTAGTGTCCCACATCCCAGTCCTTAAATGCCTATTCCCCTGAGAGGAATCATATTGGCATTTTTTTCTGCAAAGTATTTTATCACTCGTGTTGCATTTATGTAAGGGTGCGTGGTAGCAGGGTTATTTTTTTGACTAGTTTTCCCTACAAAACCTTAACTGTATAAATTAATTTGTCAAAAAGTCAGCACCATGGCAGGACCTTACAAATATATCCAAATTTATTGGCACAACAGGTCCACATCCAACTAAACAGACCCATCAGCAGGTCTGTTATGTTGAATTTTGACCTGATGTGCCAATAAATTGTGATATATTTGGAAGATCCTGTTGACTGGTTTGACAAATTATATTTTTTGATGGATGGCCGGGGCAATAGTCAAAGCATTGGCATCCCTCCACTGTGGAATTGGGTAAAGAGGTAAATGTGGCTTATTCTGATAATGTTATTAACTGTATAAAGACTGCCAATTCCAATAGGTCCTTTCATTGCCTTCCCTGTAGCAGAAAGATAAAGGCTGATCAGTTTACTCTGAATAAAATGGACTGCAGGAAAACACAGGCCTTACATAACACTTACATAACACTTATATGTACTATATAATAATCCCATGTATATATCTAGATGTGGAACCATAGTAACTAGTCAGATGTTTGATTGTTCTTTCACCTGCACTGGAAAAACAAGGGTGAGCTGACAAATTGCCATAGTTAATATAAAAGGCAGATACAGTACATGTGTTGTAAATATATGATCTTGTGGACATACCCTAGCTCTAATGAATATTGACCAGCAACCCATTTTCCAGGGTTAAAGAAATGAAAAAAAAGACAAATCAGCCATAGATAGCTTGAATCTTGGCCAATTCAGCAGGACATCATCGGCATCATCCTAGTATAATCATTTCAACCTGGCAACGTACGGGTACGTACATTGAGGAGGCTGAAGTGGTTAACAAAATGTATAGTTAGCACTAAAAAAGGAAAAAAAGTATTTTAAAATGTTATCATGCAGCCTCACTTTCAGCAAGCAGGTGGAACTTTAGGCTCCTTTTCATTTTCAAAAATGTTGTTTACAGATCTCTGAAGCTCAAGCTGAATTTTGCACATCAAGCTTAATGAATTAAGCTAGGTTCAAGATAATGAGTTTTAGTGTGTTTTCAGATCCACAGAAACACAATTCAATCCATCTAACCTTGTTTCCTATAGGTCCTGTTCACATCTATGCAGTTCCTTGCAATGCATTTTTTTTGTAAAGTTGCAGCACGGTGCATTTTTTACTACATTGACTTCAATGGAATTGCATAAAAAATGCATGAAGAAAACATGTACATGTGTTTTTGGTGCATTTTTCTGCATCACAACAGACATATCCTCCTAGCAACACCAACACTTCCCAAAAAATGCAAAATGTAAAAGACATTAAGAACGCATCAAAAGCATCCATGAGCAAATGCATCAACTGCACATACATAGATGTGAACCTAGCCTTAGAGGGGTGACTCTTCTTCCAGTCATGTAGGTTGGGGATTGCAGGGATGGCAGCAAACCTGTTGCTTATCCTGCATGGGCAAAGCCCAGGTTTGCTTTACATGTTTTGCTTTAAAACAAAGATTGGTAGATAGATAGATAATGGATAGATTGATAGATAGGTAGGTAGATAGAAAGATAGATAGATAGATTTCAGTGTAAAAATGTATGAACTATGAAAAAATAAAATTACTAAAAAAACCTGAAAAACAATATAGCTTTTAAAAGAAACCAATAGCTCTAGCTCTGACTGGACGATTCAGAGGCTTCCTTAAAGCTAAAGGCAAAATATTTTTTTTTAGTTTTTGGAGTGGAGAGTGGAGAAGGATTGGCACACCTGTTGGGTTTTTATTGCTGTCTGTGTTCCTTTAGGGACATTCAACCTCTCTATTTGTCATGTTGGTGCATCTCAAGTGCATGGGCGTGTGGCCTATTAGCAGCATCCCGTCCGCCCTATAGCAGAAATACTGCTGCAGGGCGGCACAGATGTGTAAAATCACACACATATACATATATATATATATATATATATATACATGTGATTTTGCAGTTCTGGACAGGGGGTGCGCAAGCCACTTGTACGCCCTACCCGCGCCACCATTGGCGGCCTCGGCTGTCAATCACTGTGTCCCAGCCGGTGATTACTCGCCGGCACCCCCGGTGATCGCCGAGTATTACCGACGGGGTAAAGAACTGTATGTAAACAATAAAGTTCTCTCCCCTGTCAGCTCCTGCACACTGCTTTGTATGGCTCTGCTTACAGTTGAAAGCGTGCACTCAGCACATAATGTGACACAGCACACAGTTAACCCTTTGATCGCCCCAGATGTTAACCCCTTCCTGCCCACTGCCATTAGTACAGTGTCAGTGCTTTTTATTAGCACTGATCACTGTATTGGTGTCACTGGGGATGTCAGTTTCCCCCAGTGTCAGAATGCCCACCGCAGTCCCGCTATAAGTCGCTGATCGCTGCCATTACAAGTAGAAAAACAACATTCCAGTATATATACCGCCATTTGTAGACGCTATAACTTTCATGTAAACCAATTATTATACACATATTGGGA